TATATATATATATATATATATATTTATATTTATATGTATGTACATAATTGTATACACATAAAGTTTTTTTAAACACTTTTTAATAACCTTGGTTAATAATACTTTTATATTTCAGTCAGCCATTAATTAAAAAAAAACATAAAAATTTATTAAGTTCTGAGATCTAAGAATCTTTTTAAGTAAAGGTTTAAAGCATTATGTTATATTTTTAGGTTGACTTGTTTCATTTGGATAGTAAATTCCTTGGTGATCTTGAAAGCATACGGATAGGTCATGACAGTACTTCATTAGGTTTGTATTAATTTCTAGATAGTATAAATAATTAAACAGTATAACATATGGCAAATACATTAATTTGTTTTTCAAATTAGGGCTTTATGAGCTTCTCCTATCATAACCCACAATTAAATTAGGATTTTTAGCTTTTCTACTCCTAGGTTGACTTTAGCTAAGGGTCCTCTAATACTCTATCATTCTGACTCTAAATTGTCTTTATTTTTATTTAAACATAATGCCAAACCCAATGTTTAACTGGTTTTAATTTGGTAAAACAATAGGTTTTTACCATATATATTTTTTCATAGTACTATAGTTGTTTTTTAAGTCAAATTTCATTAACATTTATTCAATCAATCAAATAATATTGAATAGTTAATGGTTGTTAGCAATTAAAAAAAAAGATTAAAAAGTGATTTTTTTAAAAAACCCTTTTCAGATTTTGTTTTTATTTTTACCGGGTTAAAAAAATTCTTCACTGCTGTGAATTTTTTAACTTGATGTGAGATTTATAGAGTTGAGCTCAGAGTTTTTCTATTTTATTTAATGTTATGTAATTTATACAATTCAACATGTTAAGTAATTAATCCTGACTAAAATAAGTTCTTAGTTGAAATGCCAAAATTTGGATTTTAGTAAGTCATTTTTTTTGTTACTAGGTGCTCATCAGAAAACTCAACATTATACTATATTTATTATGCCATTAGCCTTTTAGTTTAAAGTTAGTTAAACCTTAAAATGATGGGCTTAAAGTATAACTTAACAAATATACTTTAAAAAAAATAAGGTAAATAAAAAATCGGTTAGATTAGTTAAGTTTTTTGTTCTGTTTAATAAGACTTTACAGAAATTATCTTGTTCCAGTTTCAGAATGGTATATGTAAAAAACAAAAAATTACAATGTGACAGTGTTACTGAATTAAACACTTCTATTTTTATATTAAGCTATGAGAATTTAAAGAATTTTGGTTGATTGATAAAAATAGGCTTTAAATACTGTGACTAAAATTAGAAGTTAATTAAAAGTTATTGACTACAGTTTGATAATCTAAAAACATATTCATTCATATAAAATTTGTTTTTGCTAAAATTCTTTTTTTATGTTTTAAAAAACAAAATTTGTTAATTAAATTTTTTGAGGCATTACTGATTTTTTTTTTTTAGCTGATGGATGGTTTCTTGAGAAGGTTATAATACAAGCTGAGTCAAAAGCAGCCTTTGCATTTAGTTTTCAATGTGGCAGGTGAGATAATTCAGTGTTTACAATGACTAAAGTAATGATTTAATAGTTACACTATCCAAACAATTTCATCATAGTTGCGTCATTGTACAGTTTTATGGTTTTTGTATTTGTTTATCGCATTAAAATAAAAATAAATATGCAGATATTTTAAAATAAAACACATTTCTTAAAAATAGTTTAGTTGACCTTATTTATTTGCTTATATTGTTTGAAAACCTGCTTATATTGTCTGAAAACTTATTTATGTTGTATAAAATCTGTTTTATGATGTTTGAAAACCTGCTTATGTTGTTTGAAAACCTTTTTGTTATCAGAAAACCTGTTTATATTGTCTGAAAATAAAAATATTTGAATATTTTTTGTTTAACTTTTTTAAAACATTTTAAAGTGTTTTAAAACTTATCTCTTGTAAAAATAAATTTTTCAAAATTTTTGATTATATAAAACTGGATTAACTAAATAATATTAATAGTAGGTTAAGAAAATGATTGAATATGGGAATGAGATGAATGTTTTTATTTTAACAATATTGTTTTAATATATATATATATATATATATATATATATATATATATATATATATATATATATATATATATATATATATATATATATATATATATATATATATATATATATATATATATATATATATATATATATATATGTATATATATATATATATATATATATATATATATATATATATATATATATATATATATATTTATTTATTATTCTAATAAAATTAATATAATCTTACCTATTATTTACCTTATTTTATATTATTTCACATATCCTACCTTATAACCTTATGATTTATATTATCTCACATATCCTACCTAATAACCTCATGATTTATATTATCTCACATGTCTTACATTATAACTTTTTAGATGGTTTTCAGCAAAAGAAGATGATGGACAGATTGTAAGAGATATAGTATTAACAAGTAAAATTCCTTGTAAGAATTTTTTTTTTTATGTTTTAAAGTATTTGTTCTTAATTGAAATAAAATATATTTTCTTTTTATTACTTTTTATATATGGGATTTTTTTTAACTAAATCAGTTTTTTCTTTAAAAAAGTATCAGAAATTCCTGAAGTAAGTTGCCAAACAAAAAGAAAATCTTTTAGTAGAAAGGTATCATCAAGTGATGAAAGCAATGAAACAGTACAAAAATCTTTTAATACAAATAATTCACATGGCAGTCAAAAACAAATTCTAAAATCACCAGTGAATTCTATTTTAAATAAACCGCAGATGGCAGTACCAAAAAAAGAGACTTCAAATAAAAGTGTAGCTTTGAGTCAAATTTCTAGAAATAGTGCAGATCATTCAAAATCATCATCTTCTGATAGCGATTCTGTATTAGAAAATCAGAAACTTGAGAAACTAAAGCGACGAGTTAAGCGTTTTAGTAGAAATAGTAGAGAAGAAAAGTTAGTCACTGCATCTCCTGTATCCAATTTTTCTGGGTCTATAAATTCTTTAAATTCTGCCAAAAAAATTAGTTCTAATTTGCTTGCAACATCTTTAAAAAACTCAAGCGCAAAACCAGCTCAAATAACAGATACCTCAAAAGTACGAAAAAATACTCCTATTGCAACGTTATCTCTTCAAAATCCACCTTTGTTAAATACAGCAAAATTAGTTAATACCCCAAAAGACATTGATACAAACAACAATATATTAAACAGTATTACAAATGAAAATCATGATGTAAATTACAATGACCTATCTACTAATGCAACAAAGAAAACATCAATCAATGAAGATCTTTCAAGCAATAGTACTTCAAGTATAACCACCAGTTCATCAGACAGTGAGAGTGATAAAGATCAACCCATTCTGCTTCCAAGAAAAAAGAGTCACGAAAGTGATGAAAAAGTTGAATTTTCTCATAAAGACACTTTAAAACTGGTATTAACTATTATGAGTATAATTAATGCATATCTACTATTTTGAAAATTTTAATATTGATTTGAATGTGAAACTAATATTAGTTTATATTTATAGATATTTATGAGTATAATTATTAATAAAAATGTGAGAGAAAATTTGCTCACCAAAAAAGTCAAAGCTTTTTTGTCTAATTAACTATTGTGTTGAAGAAGTAGAAAAATTTAGTTTATAAATCAATTATATTTATAATACGAATATATATATATATATATATATATATATATATATATATATATATATATATATATATATATATATATATATATATATATATATATATATTCATTCATTTATGTTTTTAAATTTAGCAACTTGAGCAAAAAGATGATGGATATATGGCTGGGTTTACTGCTGGGCTTAAAGCAAATAAAATTAAAGAAGAAGAAGCTGAAAAATTAATGATTGAAAAAGAGCAGTTTGAGAAGCAGTTACAAAGGGGTAAATATATTTGCAATCTTTTAGAGAAATATATTTAATACTATTATAAGAATAAATTTGTTAATCCTTTGTCAAACTTTAAAAGGAATTTTAACACCATTCTAACTGCACTACTTACTTACAAGTTACTAATGATGACCCACTGTGCTTAATTATAACTTCTCCACTTTATATTTTATTGTTTACTAATGACTTATCTACTGTGCATGGTTGCTGCTCAGACAAGCTATTATCTCTCATTTCATCGACCAAAATTTTTGTATATTTTTTCATTTATCTGAGTTGCATATTTTACTGCAACTGTTCTTGCTAAACTTTTATTTATCTAGTTTTTTTCCTAGCATATCAATGCTTTAAAATTGTCTTTTGTCTTATTATTTTTTAAATTTTTTATGTCTTCCTTTCTTTTTAAATCTTTTCTTTGTTTTCTATTAACTCTCAACTTAATTAGTTAGCTTCCAACTTTAATATTCAACTCCCAAATTAAATAGTTTGCTTTCAACTTAAATATTTAACTCCCAACTTTAGTATTTAGCTCCAAATTTGAATAGTTGTTTACCTCGTGACCAATTCAAATACTAATGTGGAAGTTTAACAGAATAAATTGTCTGAAATCTTTTGTTTATCAAAAATACTATTATAAAAATACTATTATGGTCACTGCTCAAAAGAGTTGTCATCTCTAGTTCCATCAACTAAAATTCATTCTCGTTTTACTCGTCATTCAGCTAGTCTCATTCGTTTACTGTATATGTCCCTGCATGCTTTAAAAACTTTTATTCATCTAGTTTTTTTCCCCGCACTTCAAATCTTTGGAACTCTCTCCCATCTTCATGTTTTCCTGACTCATACAACCTTCAACTTTTCAAATCTTCTGTCAACCGTTTTTTTTTTTTTCTAGTAACTCCCAACTTAATAGTGGTTGCTTGTAGCCTTGTTGGGAGTGAATGCAAATTAAAAAAAAAAAAATTTAGTTGTTAAGTTTATAAGACTTAAAGTAAAATGAGTTGCTAAACATATTCTGCATTTATTCATCTTCTACATAAACATGAAATACAAAAGTATCAATTTATAGCATTAATAGCCAAAAGTTCATTTTGTTTTAGTTAAATTTCACCAGCCTAATCCAAATCATATATATTTAAAATTTATCAGCTAATTCAAGACCTGAGTCATATTTATAGTCATAAACTCACCAGCTATTTTTTGAAGAGTAATCAAAAGTTGTTGACCTTAACAATGAGTTAGTAACAACAAAAATAAAAGCGTTTTCAGTCTTTTAATGAGAAATCAGTTCATATGTTAACTTCAATTACTTAGTATTTCAAGCCAATTTGCCATCTTTTGTGGTTAAAGTCCATAAATCAAAAGCCTATCTGTCAATTGGAATAAAACACTATATTGCACCAATCTATTAAGTTTAATCGTGTGAAAATAGATATAATGAATGAAAGAAAATAAAGATATATCACTAAGTTATTGAAATTTCATTTATTAGAAAGTTTTTCTGCCATTATGGGCATTTTAAAAGCTGTTTAAAAAAAGTTTCATTCTAAATATTTCTTTTAATATTTCTTATCAGAAAAATATTCGTTTTTGTTGTTATTCAAATTTTTTTTAATAAAAAAGTACTTCTTAGTAGTGTAACATATGTAAATATTAAGAATTTTATTGGACAAAAAGTTTTTGATTATTTGGAACCAGAATTACCAGAACTACCATAAGGAGAGGGGTTAGAAATGAGAAATAAGTTAATTTAATTTTAAAGGAGAGGGCTGTTAAAAGCTCCCTTGCACTTGTAGTTACAGAATTTTATGATTTTATATTATGTTGTATATGACAACTAGGTGCTTAACACATGCTGCTAATTTTAATTTAACCTTTGAAGACCTTAAAAATAAATAAATTCAATTTAATATATAAAAGTCTATAACTTTCAGGTAAAAATTTCCAATCTTAAACACTCAGTGGCGGACTGTCCTCAAGGAGCACCAGGAGAATTCCTGGTGGACCAGTATGAATTTAGTCCGGTGGGCCAGCCTAAATCAGGCTAAATAATTACGTGGTAAAAAACAAAAACTGATTCTGAATATTTTTTCAGGTTTTATGAATTTTTAACCCATTTCTATACTTTCTTTTTCTTTGATGTGGGCCGGAAAATGTGAAATTCCCGGATCAATTTCAAGCCTCAGTCCGCCCCTGTGAACACTTCAACTGTAATTTTTAAAATATTACTGCATGGCACACTTCTATGTTTAAAATGAGAAATTTTAAAAATTTTATAATACCTTAGACTTTTAAAGGCAACTTGGTGTACAAAATTATTATTATTTTTTCAATTTAAAAAAAAAAAAAAAATTAATTTAGTTGCTTAAAAACTTATTATCTAAGGTTGCCCAATATCTTTTTTTTTCAGGTTCAACTGTACATCAGGCATGTGAAGTTGGTGATATAGATCGTGTTAAAGAACTTATATCTATCTTGCCTGAACTAAAAACAAAAGTTGACGAAAGAGGTTGGGCTCCAATTCATATTAGTTCCGCATTCGGACATTTAGATCTCGTTAAATGGTTTTCTGTGAGTGGTGTAGATTTGATGCAGGAAACACCAACAGGTTATACATCAATACATCTTGCAGCTTTAAATGGTCATGTAAATTGTATAATGGTATGTACCAAATGTATTTATTGATATCAAATGTGTTTATTAGGTTCTTTTATATAAGACTTTTTGGGTTGGATTTTTTTTATTGATTGCTCAAGATAAATAAAATCTGGAATGTAAGAAATAATTTAATACTTTCTTTTGAAATACAAAGATTACAAAAATGGTTGAGTTTTAATAAAACTGCAGTCCAGCACCACATATCTTCGCTGTTTCCAACAAAATCTTTGTCCAAGTATTCCTAATTCACAAATTGTGTCACATTCTTTGTTTAACTCTTCGTACATTGTCTTATACAAATCTCTGAAACTTTGTATTGATCATTTTTAAAGTACAACTGGTGCATTTTTTTTTTTTTTTTGGCTGTGTAACCAATTTTTATTGATTTAGATAATTACATGCAATTTATAAAATAATGTTATAGCTATAACTGGTCAGAAGATTATCTTGTGATTTTATTTCGCTTTATAATTTTTTTTATTCTATTTCACTCCCAACAAGGCTGAAGGCAACCACTATTAGAGTTAGTTAAAGTTACTGAAAGAGAAAGAATGAAGTTTATAAAGTGAGATAACGATTAACAGATGATTTAAAAGATTGAAAATTACATGAATTAGGAAAACAAGTTTAATTTTAAAGAACTGATGTTCGAGGAAAAAAATAAGACAATTAAGAATTTTTGGAGCATTTAAAAACAGTAAAAGGATGAGACTATTTTATTATTTTAGTAGATAACACAAGAAATGCTAGCTCTTTAGAGCAGCGCTCATTATAGTATTTATAGAAAAGAGAAAGAGAAGCAACATGATGATGTGACAATGGTTGAATTTTGGCTACAAGAGCAGGTCCAACTATGTTTACAATGTGTTTTTGCACCTTGTCCAAAAGAGAAAGGACATCATTGGAAGATCCACCCCAGATATAACAACAGTATTCCAAACAAGGACGTATTTGAGATTTATAAAGATAAAGAATAGAATTTGGAGTAAGAAAGTAGTGAACACGATAAAAATAGGGAAACCTTTTGCTATGGATTTGATATATATTTTCCAAAAAAGATCGGATGTAAGAATTAATCCTAGAGGAGGAAGGGTAGACTCATCAAGTATATTGCTGTTCATAAATATAGGAAGATCTAGATTGAATTGGTTTAGATCAAGCTCAACTGCCTCCTCCAAGCAATCAGGGTGTGTTGGTTTCTTATCAAGACAAGAACAAATGGTAGTATCATCAGCGAATAATGCTACCTTAGATGTGAGAATTTCTGGCATAGACCACAGCTCCAGAGAACACTTCCACAAGACTAACAGGTATGTTGTCTGGACCACAAGCTGTAGAAGAGTCTAAGCAGGAAATAACTTTAGATACAGAATCTGGAGTGATATGAATATCAAGTAATGGATCAACCTGTTTGTCGGCTATATCAGGTGGAATGTGATTTGTGGAATCAAAAGATAAGATCAATGAAAAGTTCTAAGCAAACAGTTAAGCATTGTCTTTAGGTGAGGTGACAAAATCTGAACCATGTTAGAGATGAGGAATAACAGATTTGCTCTTATTATAACTACTGTTAAAGATTCTCTAGAATTCTCCAGAGCCTATTTTTTGACATGAAATAGGAAATTTGTTACCTGAGATTAGCCGGCTTTGGCATTAGACAAAACCTTTTTACTATGGTTTCTAGCAATAGTAAACAGACATCTGTTTTCTGGAGAATTGTTTTGGCAATAGAAATGAAAGTGATGGTTACAGTTAGAAATTGCAGCAAAGGAAAACAATGGAGAAGTGTGAGGCTTATTTGGAATCATCAAGTAGGAATAAAAGTTTCCTAGCTTGAATCCAAGAAGTTACATAAGAAGCTCATTTGTTGCCAGGAAGACAAAAAATTTCTACCCAAAGGCCATCATGAAGAAAATCATGGAAAGAGTCCCAGCCAGCTTGTAAAAGGCACAATGATAGGGGATTCTGATGATGATAACCATGGTCTCTATAAAACTAATAGTTTTATAGAGATCATGGTTCATGGAACTAGAGGTAATAGCTTCTTTGAGCAGTGACCATGACAGTATTTGTAGAAAAAAGAAAGAAATGTAACCTTATGACAATGAGAGAAGCTCAAACTTGGCAGGTAAAGATCTACTATGCATTTTTAGACCTTGGAAGAGCATCATTAGAAGAACCATCCTAAATATGATAACAGTGTTCCATACAGGGACAAATTAGAAATTTGTAGAGTTAGAGAATGGAATCAGGAGTAAGTAAATGGCGAGTATGATAAATAGAAGCATTTTTAATAGCAAATTTAAGCAAATTTAATAACAGATTTGAATAACAGATATTAATTTCCAGCAGGCAAGAAAACAAGATTCACTCAAGCTTTTGTAAAATGTAAAAGAAGAAGTACAAGATTTATAAGGATAATTGCATGGTTTGAACAACCTAATGGAGAACAAGGAGAAACTGAACACAAGCTAGGGTCAGAAATTAGTCACAAATCAAGGAGCGTAGGTAAGTAATCACAAAATTAATTAAGTAACTCTATCTAAGTAAGAGGTTGACAAATACAAAGTCAGTGGTATTAGAGCTAAGTGGTATTAGAGCCAAGCCATTCAGTGGTGTTAGAGCCAAGCTAGTCAGTGTTTATAAGGTAAATAATATTTTGACAAATTCTTTGAAACAAAACTTGCTTGGTAATGATTCAGATGTCATTTTAGGTTCAAAAACTTGACAATTGCTTGTCAAGTTTTTTCTGCTGCACAATTGATTGGCAAATCAATTGTTTACTTTGTTTTAAGTTCAATCCTAATCTCTTCATAAGTTACCATTTTGAAGTTATCTGGCATCCAAGATAGATTAACTGAAAGAAGCTTTCTTCTTGTCATAAACAAAAACCTTTCACCACTGGCAGAATGGAAAGTTATACAGCCTTTTAAGTTAGCTTTTAATAGCTGTTCTTTCATATTTTTTCACATTTTGAATTAAAACTTTTGAATTTGGAATGCCTTCTTTCTAGATTTGATACTAATATCTTCTTTGCATTTAACGCATAATTTTGAAGTCATAAGCTGCTAAATGTTTAATAATGATCGTCTTGTCTATAGAAAGATATTTTCTTTTTTAATTGTTTAACAGTTAACCCAGATCATGAACCTGTTTTTTTTTTTTTAGTATTTTAATTCACTAGTTTTATATTTTCAATAGTTGTTGAATTTTTTTTTTTTACATTCATCTTAAAAGCATTTAATTGTTGACTTTTGATCTTAATTAGTGTTCAAGAAAATTTTTTTTATATCGTTACCATGCTTTATATTTTTATTCTCCATGCTTTTGAAGTTCTGAAGTAAATAAATTTTGTTTTATTAAAACTATGATAATTTAGATTTTATCAGCGATGGGATGTCCAATTAGTTGTCAAACTGTGGATGGTCATACTCCATTGCATCTTGCATCAATGAGGTTTGTTGTGACTTTTGTTAAAAATGTTGTTAGATTTTTGATATTAAACAGTTTCCTTCAATATAAATAAATGAAAAATAATTATAAGTTGTTCATCACCATCACTTTTTCTTTTTTTATCTAAACCTGTCTTGAATTTCTAAGTGCTGAATATCTTAACATCAATTGCATTCTATAAATAAAATTCAAACTCATAATTTTTTTTTAATTGAATCAAAATTTCATCATAAAACCATTCAACTTATAAGCATTTCAAGATTGGGTTATTTTAACATGCATATTTTTGAGTTTTCTTTTAAATACTGTTTATATTAAATGGACTTTAATTTCTAAATTATTTTGGTTTCTAAATAATGGACAAAAATGTTTAAAATTTGAACACAACATGAAATGAACCTATTAATAGGGAAGTTTTGGGGAAGTCTAACATCAGTGGTTTCACAATGTCATTGTGGTTTCACAATGACATTGTGAAACCACTGATACCTTTAAATACTTCCTTAGATTAATCTTAAGAGAGCAAAATAGTGGTCTCATTAGGTTTCACATTTTTCCTGAAGTAATAAACTTCTTTGAACTTGATCATTATGCTTAAAACTAGGGTTGTGGAGCCGACTGCTTTTACGGCTTGGCTCCGGCTTCTAAGAAATATCCAGCTTGGTTCCGGCTCCCGAACTTTATGAACAAAAATCTCAAGTTTTGGAGTATTTTTTTTGATCACATTTGCTAACCCAAAACTTACCAATAACAGCAATTAATTTTTGACCAACTCTCATAATTATAAAGTTATTGTATTACTACTCTACTACCGAATCACTACTCTACTACCGAATCACTACTCTACTACTGAATCACTACTCTACTACCGAATCACTACTCTACTACCGAATCACTACTCTACTACTGAATCACTACTCTACTACCGAATCACTACTCTACTACCGAATCACTACTCTACTACCGAATCACTACTCTACTACTGAATCACTACTCTACTACCGAATCACTACTCTACTACCGAATCACTACTCTACTACCGAATCACTACTCTACTACCGAATCACTACTCTACTACCGAATCACTACTCTACTACCGAATATTATAAAGTTATTGTATTACTATCACTACTCTACTACCGAATATTATATTTAAAAAGAAAATTGTTTTTCGGGTAAATAATATATAGAAATAGTAAATAAACACTTTTTTCTATATATTATTTACCCGTGCCCACTGGGTATTTAGTGGGCACGGGACCTAAAAAAGAGGTATTTTGAACGTTCAAAAGACGTTCAAAACGCTCCAAAAACGTTTGAAAGACCTCTTTTGTAAGTCCCGTGCCCACTGGTTAAAACATGCGATCGCTAAATTCAAAACAATAAAAAAAAAATAGTTCAACTAATGCAAAAACTTCAATATTTATTTTAATCCAAGGAACTTGAAGATTATAAAAGTACTTTTTATTTTAATATTTTTCATTATTTCAAAGAAATAATCAAACATTTACGCTAATCGGCGACATCATCTTTTCCACAGTGTCTTTGACTTTTTTGACTTTGACTTTGAATTTTTTTTCCTACTAATGTACACCTTCTAATCAAATCTTTAGCTGTATTTATTGTTTTGCCAGTCTTACGCAAATATCCTTTACCTAATTCCTCCAAATTTTTCAATGGGATGGAACTGTGTGAAGATTGATGAATTCAGCTTTTTGGTATGAATCTTGAACTGTACCACTCTTCTTAAAATAATTACAAGATACAAGATTAGGCCAGAATCAACAGGGGACATCGTGACTTCGATAAAATTGCAAAGGTCTAGCTTGCAAGTATTCTTTGATGTAAATATTCGAGTTTAAAGTTGACTATGTGACAAAAGCTCGAGATCTCAAACAGTCGCGTATTGCTTGCCAAAATTGAATCTTTAAAAAACTCTGAAACTTTTTACTTTTTGGGTCATTCTCTGTTCAATAAGCTGGGATTTTGCGTGAATGATCGTCGAATACTAATTGCTGCTTTCTTATCATTAAAGCCACTCTTTCTTCGAGATCTATTTGCTTGTTCGATAGATAGAGAGCTCTTGTATTGTTTTATGACCATATAAATAGTAGTTTTGCTAGATTCAGATCCTTTAGTGATTGAAAGTAACGATGCAGAAGGATTTTGTAGATAGTTCTGCAGAAATTTTTTTCGTTTTTTTGAATGTTTTGATGACATTTTAAGTAAGAGAAACATTTTGACTTGTTTGTTGATGTTTTTAATTAATACTGTAATTACTTAATGTAATTACGCGAAAAAAAAAAAATTTAGTAATGTGTTAGTGAGTTTAGTGAGTTAAAAGTTTAGTTTTAAAACAAAGTTTTAAAACAAAATTCATCATTTCAAATTTAACGATCTCATGCTTTAGTATAATTTAAAAGATAAGAATAACCTTTGATCATTAAGTCGCGCATCATAT